AAGAAATTATGATAAATAAATAAATCTTAATAAAAGAAGCTACAATATACTCCTGTCCCAGATATCTGATTTCAAATTCTTGTTCTTTGCTCTCTCTTTAGTTTGCCCTCAAACTCTTCCTCAATACATTTCACTGCCCCAAATATCATCCTTGCACGTGGTATGTGCTTACATCTGCTCTGTAGGACCCCCCTACTACACCTGAGCACACACATGTACACACATAGACACATGCACACACACCCAAACACACAAAACTATGAGGTAGTAGACAGCATGACCAGTACCAGATAGATATTGGTCCTTCTTTTCTCTTCCTTTCCTCAGCCCTCTGAATAAGTGTGCTGTAACTTCCCCAGCCTGAAATATTCCCTCTGCCTAAACTTCTACCATAGTTGTTGTCACACTATTTAGATCTTACCTGTTCTTTAATTGTAACTAGCCTCTGTAACTTATTAATTGAGGTATAGAGTTGAGCTCTATTTCAGAAAATAGGCTGGGTATTCAACAAATATTTTTATTAATGTAAAGAGAACATATTTCAAGTATTTCATGGGGACAGTTCTAAGCTGGTAATCATATTTACTTCCCTCCCCCTCTCTCCTTAAAACTCTATTTCCTTCCTCTCTTTTTTTGATTTGATTCTTGCAAAGATGTAATTTCAATCCATCATACAGATCACAGGCTTAATTTACCACTAACATGACAGTTAAACAGAAGTATAAACAAAGGCTGAAAACAGCAATCATATCACAAGATGTGTGTCTGATTTTTATACCTTCTACTTCATCCACTGAATTTTCAAATCCATATCGGTAAGATCGAGTATCAGCTCTGCCTTCATCCTCAAGGACCTGAATCCAAGTCATACTGTCATCAGTAACAAGGAATTTATCTTTCCCTACTCCCATAGTGATGTGGATTGTACATTTCCCACAGCAAATATCATCTGATAGTCTTGTAATTGATTAAAGAAGAGTCCCCCAAATAGATTGTGCACTTCTTAAAGCCATCAGCTACATCCACTCTGTGTCCCCAAGACCTCTGTATTTAATACTTAATAAGCTACTACACCAATCTTTTGTGTTAAACTCGAAGTACAGAACTCTGAAAGCAGAGAATTAAATGTGTTGAAATGGGTCCAGGGGTGAAAATAGTTGGAGTGGCTCAGATGTGCAGGGTGCTGCTGCTTTTCATACATTGCATTAGATTTGCTCTTTATCCAGGACCCACTGTGCCAAATCAGGCTTGTGATTAAGATCAAGTCTACCGGGAAATCAGCAGAGTTGGAGAGCATTTGAAAAGGGCCTTGCTGTCCAAAGTTTGCAACTCTGGCAAACAGATGTTATGGTTCTATTGTTTTATTTTTTTTTTTTTTTGCTTCCTTTAAAGGGCAAGCTTTGAAAAATCAGGGAATTTATAAAAAGAATTTCAGTCCAAAGAGAACAATTCAGGAGTCATTTTCTCCTGAAACAAGGTAAGTTGCCAACCACACAGAATGCCCTGTGAATGGTGGCAGCATCAGCTTCAGGGACCACTTAGACCAAAATCACCTTTTTCAGATGTAAAAGACCTATTGTGCCCTCGGGCAGGACTTCGATATACTGACTCCATTTTGGAGCACCACTTTCAGACCCATTTACAGCCTCTCAGAGAATGTAGCTCCCATTCTGTGAGGAATCGAATGTGTTTCCATCTTGGATCAAAGAATATTAGAGCTGGACTAGACCTTAGAGGTCATCTAGTTTAAATCTCTTCTCTTTTGCTTTTCCTTTTGCTTTTTTTTCTTTTCGAAAGGAAATAAAAGCAAGAAAATCCACATCCTGCTATCACAGAAGGAAGAGAAAGATATCAAATTGAGTTCATTTTTTGCGACATCTAGGAACACTTATTAGTGTTATTTATTTATTAGTGTTATTATTTATTAGTGTTATTTATTTACACACAATTGCAAATCAACATGTAAAAATGTTCATCCAGACAGTTAAACAAATGTGTTGACTCCTTAGGGCAAAATACTATATAATTTTGTGTCTAAGCCATTCACTTACAGAAAAAAATCAGGGCTGACACTGTGACATGGGTCACAGGCATCCCATATGAGTGCCAGTTAGATGTCCTGGTTGCTCCACTTCTGATCCACCTCCCTGCTAATGTGCTTGGGAAAGCAGTGGAAGATGGCCCAAGAAGATGGGCTCCTGCACACTTGTGGAAGACTCAGAAGAAATTCCCGATTCCTGTCTTCATTTTGGCCCAGATTTGGCCATTGAGGCCATTTGGGTAGTAAACCAGTGGATGGAAGATTTTCCTCTTTGTCTCTCTCTTTCTGTAACTGCCTTTCATATAAATAAATAAATATTTTTTTTTTTTTAAAAAGCAGTGTTAGTGAAAGGATCTTCCAAAAGCTTGTGGAAATAATTTTATGGAAAAAGCTATGCATGGATTTAAAAAAATTGCACTGAAATTACACATTATTTATTTGTTTTATCTGAGAGGAAGAGAGACAGACAAAGGAGAAGATAGAGTGTCTCCATCTGCTGGTTCCCTCCCAAATGCTTGTAATGGCCAACACTGAGACTGACTGAAGCCAGAAGCCAGGGACTCAATCCAGGTCTTTCAAGTGGGTAGAAAGAACACAATTACTTTCACTGTCACCCAAGGTAAACATGAGCAGGAAACTGAGTCAGGAGCTGGAGCCAAGTATCAAGTCCTGGTACTCCAAAATGGGACTCCTGTAGTTTAACTATTATGCTAAATGCCTACCTCCCAAAATCTATCATTAAATTTAATTTTGACAAGAACTTTTTAAAGTAACCTCATTTAAACAGAAGTATCTGTAGGGTTTTTGTTGTTCATAACTCCATGTGTGTATCTGGAAACTGAAAAGGGAGCTCTAAGCTTTTACTTAAAATGCCATGCTTGTACATCTGTGGCTGAGTGAATGTATGCATGTGCTGTACCCATGTATGTTTCTTTGGTAGGACTGGTGAGGGAAAAGGTAACAAGCTGATGAGAAAGAGAGATAAGATGGATGGTTGAGTGCCAACCAATAGGCAATGATTGCAGAGGACTTGGCAGAAAGACAGACAAATGGGGACTCTGGAATTGACCCAAAGGCTCAGGTGCATCCTTGGAAAGTAATGTCTCTGGATCGAAGCTCCAGTGGGAAAGAGCAGGGAGCAATTCTGCAGCTAAGACTGTGATTCGCACAGCACAGCAGTCTTATTTCGCTGCCTGTTTGGGCTCCATTTGACTTCTTTGTAATTCTTTGTCCAAATAAGTACATAAATGGCGCCAAAATATTACTATGCTCTTGAAACAAGTCATGATCTAAAAAAAAAAAAAAAAAAAAAAAAAAAAACTCCTTTGAAACTTTGAAGTAATATATCCCCCAAACCCTCTAAGGTCTTTTTACTTGTTGAATTCTTTATTGAGTGGACCATTCAGTCTTTGACTATAATGTAAATTAAACATGGCTTATCTCAAAAAATAAAGAATGGAAGAAAAGAGAAAAAGAAGGAAGGAAAAGAGGAGGAAGGAAGGAAGGAAGGAATGAAAGAGAAAGACGGGGGAAAGAGAGAAGGAAAGAAAAAGAAAAATGAGGAGGGAAGAAGAGTAGGAGGAAGGGAGGAAGAGAGGGAGGAATGGAAGTATCATTATATACTTAGAATTTTGTCTATGAACTTCATTGAATCAATTTGTATTATTATCACATGAACATGAGAATTGGTGAGAGAGGTATTATGGTACTTTGCTGTGACCCTGAAAAGCTAATGTATTAATAAATCCCTCAAACAAGAAAAAAAAAACTAAAAAAATTAGTAATATATGTAAAATAAAAATGAAAGCTGAAAAAAGAAAATATAAAGTAATACATAAAAAGGCTATGTTACTTTGACTTTAACGATAACACCTTCATAAATGTAAATGAGTTTTTTCATGTTCAGATCTGGCAAGAACTGGGATAGGATGGTCTGAAAATAGATCAGCTATAGACGTGGGAAACTAAATAGTAGATAAAAGGAAATAAATAAGGACCTATCCATGGCATTTAAAACAGGAATTGTGAGCAGTGTTGTGCATATATTCGTTCCCAGGTTCTTATTCTGCTCAACTTGACTTTGAAATGACCCTATTTCTAATTAAACACAGACATTGGAAAATGTTGATAAGGACCCACATATGTGTATAGGTATAATTTTTTTCATCTATTTTGTCAAATTGAAATCGGAGAAGACCCCCTAAAACTTACCCTGAAATGTGGCCCCTTAAAGTTCCCTAGAAATGTTATCTGGGGTGCCACATGCACTACTGGAATTTGGGGTGCCTTACGATTTCACCACGGGCTTATTACTAAATCCCCGATATTAATAAGCCCGAGAGGGTTCTTGCCTATTATTTAGAGAAGAATTCTAAATACTGGCACAGATAAACGAGGCAGCATGGTACGTTTTAAGCTTTTATTTAGGGAGAAAGATTCATAGAAGGGTGAGAGCTTTATTTAGGGGAGAGAAGTGAATAGGGGTTCATACCAAGCACCAGGAACCAGTCACGTGGATGAGCATCTAGGCCAGGAAGCCTAGAGCACATGGCCCGAAGGCCATACGCCCTGGAGGCGCAGGGCTACAGCAAGCCCTGTCCTGGCAAGAGGCCAGGGAAGAAGAGCAGGGCCCGGGCACACTGTGCCCTAGGCTTTTAACCCACTCCAAAGGGGAGTGGTTAATTAACCTGATTGGCTGGTGGGCACCCCGGTGTGGCCGGGTGTGGCCAAGTAGGGGAATGAGGCCACACAGGGGCGTGGCAAAAGCATCAGGTAGGAGCATGAGGTCACAAAGGGGCGTGGTCTTCCAGTTCACAAATCTGACCAATTTTAACCTGTATGCCTGCCTACTTCAAAATCAATATTTTATTTTTGAAAGTCTTCAATTCTCATATACACATCGGAACAGAAAAATTAACAGATACCCTTCTTTCTCTTTCTTTCTTGCCTCTCCCTGTAGTTCAAAAGTCCTTGAAATTTTCTAATTTAGTTGTGGAATTAAAAATGGCTTAATAGCATCGCCAGAGAAATTCATAAAGGAAGAGCACAATTGAGGATTCCGGTTGTGAGAAAATAACTAAGCACCTCAGGTATGTGTGATGCTTGAAGCTTCTTTGGTTTAAACCAATCGCATTATGTCTTCAGCTCAGCCCACTCTATAACTTTAATTAAACAAAATTAAAATTAATTATTAATGGAAACAATTATATGAATTAGCTAAGGTGACCTAATACTTATTTATTTATTTATTTTTAGCTTTTTGTAAGGTGCCTCTAGTATACTCAGCAGAAATAGCTTACTATGAATGGTGCTGAATACCAATGAAGTTATTGCCCCAAGGTGCTATCTATCAATGAGTCAGTAAGAAAGATCATAACTCAAGCTGTAGCAGACAAATGCTACTCCTTAATAAGAAACATCAATGGCAAATTCTTGCAAAAGATTTCAATTGCAGTTCTCTAGAAAATCAAACTAATGGTAAAATTAATTCAATCATCTGCATTTAACACCATAAGTCATCCAATTGCTTATGCTAGAAATCCCATAAGTCATTCATGATTGTCTTTTCCTCTGACCCACGGCCATCCCTGCAGCCAAGACCACTGTCACAGATTGCCTAGACTCCTGCAGGGGCACCATTCCTGTTTAATTTCTTCCACCACTGAACATTCATAGTCCCTTTTCACCCAGATGCCAAACTGATCTTAAAGAGCAAGTCAGGGGCAGATGTTTGGCACAGCAGTTAGTCCACCCCTTGGGACACCCGTATCTCACATAAGAGTGCCTATGTTTGAGTCCTGGCTCCATTCTCCATTCCAACTTCCTATTGCTGCACATTCTGGAGGCAGCAGGTAGGTGATGTTCAAGCAAATCATAAGACATTATTTCCCTTACTATAAGATGCTTGCCATAATTAAATACTAATCCTACTCTTGGCCACTGCCAATTGGCTTCATATGATTGGACTTTACCTATTTCTCCAGACTCATGCTGCAAAATTGTCTTCTTCAGTAACTGCATTTCAGCCTCACAGTCTCATATTTCTTCCTCAGTAATCTGTATCCTATTCATGTTCTAGAAAGCTTGCATTTGCTATTTCTTCAGGTGATCTGCTTTTTGCTGGCATTTTGTTAATCTTATTCCTTCTTGCCCATTGCGTTTTGAGTCAAATATTATTCCCAATTTAAATAATCCTTCTGTCTATATTTATTATCATTCTTAATTTTTATTTTGTAATTTCTCCCTAAAATGATTCTAATTGTTTGTAAATGTATTTTATTTTTCTTTCCCTCACTAAAATGTAACTACTCTAGAGCTAGGGCCTTGTCCAGTTCATTTAAAACCATAGGAATGAAATTCTCAAGTGTGTTGTTCCATGAATTCATAACTGAAAATAACCTGTGGAGCTGGATCATACCTGAGTAGCCCTAATCATGAACACAATTCACCAACTCACCATGGTTTCAGCATGCAGCTAAGAAAGGGTTCATCATGACCAGTTTGTAAGTCCTGATCTGGATGTAGGATTGAACTTTAGTAAACTAAGCAGTAAGGAAGAGAGTAGAGAAATGCTGTGGACACTACACAGGCCAAGAGCATTGCTTCCCAAATGGGATAAAAGAATCAGAAAGCCAGGAAAAGGAAACCACTGCATCCCCAGCTAGTTCTCTTTAATCATGAGACTAGTGATTGATCACTGGAATAATAAACCACCAACACCATTAGTGTATCTATCTCTTTTTATATTTTTATTTGTTTATTTATTTGAGAGGTAGATTTACAGACAAAGAGAGGGAGAGACAGAGAGAGAGAGAGAGAGATTTTCCATACACTGGTTCATTCCCCAAATGGACGCAGCAGACAGAGATGGTCCTATCAGAAGCTAGGAACCAGGGGCTTCTTGCAGGTCTTCCATTTGGGTGCAAGGGCCCAAGCATGGGACCATCTTCCATTGCTTTCACAGGCCATAATGGAGAGCTGGATCAGAAGAGGAGCAGATGGAACACAAACTGTTGCCCATATGGGATGCCAGCACTTCAGGCAGAGGCTTTGTCTGCTATACCACAGCGGCAGTTGGCATCTGTCTCTTGATACCCATGTTTAAGACACAACACCCATGAGCTGTATCAGATAAACATCAACTTCCAAGCCATGGAAACAAGAAGAAACAGCCAAAGGAACAGCAACATGATGGTTTCACCTTATCATTCCCTTCCAAACCAAGCTCAGGTGTCTGTCACTGGAAGTGCCCAACTTTCCATACATCTTTGGCTTTGAGAAATCTGAGAAATATTGTCCTGTGATTTGTGGATTCTATAGCAGAGAAGGTCCATCAGAATGGGTAAAGAATGGGTTCTGGATATCAGTTAATTGCACAGTAGCACCCATCTACAGCAGCCAAAGTCATTTGCAATATAATTTCATGAAGAAATTGAGCTGGGCTCAACTCCAAACCTCTATGATTCACCACATCTGCACCACTCACTTCGCTGTGATCTGAAGATATATTAAGAAGGTGTAATTGATTCATTCATTTACAGAGGTTAAACTGAAAAATCTGTGCTTGCAATTGATTAAAAGTGACCTTAAAATTCTCAGAAACAAGTGAATAACTGATCTGTTGAAGAATAACAATTTTTCTTTTATTGTCTTTCTCATCAGTGTCTCCATGGTAGGGAAAGCTGCTTCCTGAAGCTGGTACCAATGTAGTACTGAATCTCAAGTACCACAACATGAATGAGCCATTTATTTTTTCATGGAGTGAGATCATTCACCTTTGTCATATTGCTGGACTTTGTGTAGGTCCTCAGAGGCACAATGCAAGGACCTTCAGAGACCTTGGGTCCATACTATATGGAAATTAAACCCATCTTCAAGCAAGGGAGAATGCATCATTCACATTTAATTGTGTGAAAAATCCAGGAGCAGTTTCTATCTGTGTGAAATTAGGGGATTTTATTGAGGTTATTTCTATTCTTAAAATTCATTATGTATAAACATGGATAATTGTTTTCTTCCTTACAAAGGAGGGAAGAGGGAAGTCCGGTTATGTTTTGGAGCAAATCTTCCTAAAATTCCTCTTCAATCATTTTTCTTTCAAGCCAATTTAAAAAAACAAAATGGGACCAGCACTGCGGACAGCCAGTAAAACCACTGCCTGCAACACCAGCATCCCATATAGGCTCTGACCTGAGTCTCAGATGCTGCACTTTCCATCCAGTTCCCTGCAGGTGGCCTGGGAAAAGCAGTGGAGGATGGCCCAAGTGCTTGGATCCCTGACACCCATGTGGGAGACTCGGCTGAAGCTCCTGGCTCCTGACTTTGGGCTAGCCAAGCCCTTGCTTTTGTGGTCATCTGGGGATTGAACCAGCATATGGAAGAGCTTGCTCCCTCTCCATCTCTTCCTCTCTTTCTGTAATTCTGCCTTTCAAATAATTAAATAAATTTTTGAAAAATGTTGATATTTCTGATGTTAACCCATTATTTATTTCTTAACTTTCTTTTTCTGCCCTCCTCACCCCCTATCCTCTCTATTATCCTCCATGTAAGTAAACTAGATAATGAACCCCTAGTACATAATGAGTGATATTTTACACTACCTTTCTCAACTTTGGGAATAAAAATAGATTGTAGAATGATGAAAATCACGGGAAGATAGCCATTTGATCATGGAGCAAAAGCAAATGTATCACAGAACACTGGGTTTCTACCTGTGAACAGTCATACAAGTATTCCCCACATTGGTTTGATTTAGAAATTTCTCTGCTAAACTATACTCATGCCTACAACCTCATACAGAAGAAATAACAGAAATTCTTTATTTCCTTTCTTCCCTGTCTCCTCTTCTCCTTACCCACTAATTAAAAACAGAAATAGGTTTATTTTCTGATAAAAAAATTGATACCCAGAGAACCAAGAACATCCTTGGAGGTCACATGGTATGTTGGTGGCAAACTGTCATTATAGACTAAGCTGTCCTGTGGTTCCTGGGTCATAACTGATTGTTAAAATTTCTGCCACACTCATCTTCAGGGAGCATGACACTGAGAGGAGCAACCCAAGTTAACTTTAACAAGATAAATGAGCAACTATCTGCCCCCTCACTGATTCCTCATGACTATAATTATTGTAGAAAGAATTTCTGTGAGACAATAAGTTATAGGCCAAATGTTTGTGTAACCCCTCCTCCCAAAATCATGCATTGAAGCCCTAAACCTTGATATGTTTGCTTTAGAGATGAGTCTTATTGTGGAATTGATAAATATTAAATGAGAACATAAGTATGGAGTCCAAATTCAATAGGACTGACACTCTAACATGAAGAAGAAAAGACACCGTGTTCTCATTCTCTGTCATATAGGGATACATAGGTTAGGCAGCCACCTGAAAACAAAGAAAGGAGTCCTCAGGACTCCCCAGGAACTGAACTGATTGGCACCTTGATATTTTTTAAAGATTTATTTATTTATTTGAAAGTCAGAGTTACACAGAGAAGGAGAGGCAGAGAGAGGGGTCTTCCACCCGCTGGTTCACTCCCAAATTGGCTATAACGGTCAGAGCTCTGCCGACCCAAAGCCAGGAGCCAGGAGCCTCCTCCAGGTCTCCCACACGGGTGTAGGGGCCCAAGGACTTGGGCCATCTTCTACTGCTTTCCCAGGCCATAGCATAGGGCTGGATTAGAAGTGGAGCAATCTGGTCTCAAATCAGCACCCATATGGGATGCCAGTGCTTCAGGCCAGGATGTTAACATGCTGGAACACAGCAGTGGCCCCAGCACCTTGATCTTGAACTTAGCCTCCAGAACTGTGAGGAAATAAAGGTCTATTATTTAAGCCACCCAATCTTTGGTATTTTGTTATAGCTTCTGGAACAGACTAAAATGCAGGCCATGCTCCTCTTGACTAGAATATACAGAACACATTAGACATTTATTTGCAAGGGTATTTTCACATTTTGTTATCTAACATCAACTTTGCTAAAGAAAGTGTTATAGGGGCTTGTGCTGTGTCGTAGTATGTTAAGCATCCTCCTGTGGCACCAGCATCCCAGATGGACTCTAGTTGGTATCCTGGCGGCTCCTCTTCTGATC